TGAAAGAATTAAGTAAAAGTTTTAAATAAGTTGTGGTAAGGAAATCTCTGCCTTAATAATTTACCAGTTTAACATGGATAACTTTCATTGAAGTCTTAGTCATTATAGACACTGGCATAAGGAACAATTTTGGGAAATATGCATAGTGTTAGATGTAATTTAGAAGTTATTTACTGTGACTTGACTATAGGTGGTGTTGTTTACCTTTACCTATTGTTCAACCAGATTGTAAAATTGACAATACAATTGGGACATTTAAATTGACCAGTTGGTATTGTTAAGAGTTGTCAATAGGTTATCACTCATGCATTTACAGTCTACCTTGATGCTGTACCATCACTTTACCTGTTTAATTGTCACTGTTTTTCAAAACTTATCCATGTGGCATTTAGGTTTCAAGTTTTATCTTTGTGAAATAACATAACATGCCTACAGTTTAAATAAGTATATATGGTATGAAAAAAGCTAGAATATGGCCACAATATGCAAAATTATTCCATGTTCTATTATTTGCTAAAGACTGCTGATTTTTTTTTTAATTTCATTTCCCCATGTTTTTCATTAGAGAATCCTTAAATAAGTAAAGGAAATACACATTGTAATTACAGTCTTTTACATTGAAATGAATGTATTCCTTTTAGTAATTGGCTATACAATTTCCAAAGAAACACAACATTTAGAAGAAAAAGGAGAGATTTTTATTTTACTGTCATTTCAAATTTAAAGAGTGAGTAAGCCAAAACAAGAATATATATGTTTTTTTCTTGCAGGGTATTAATTTGCATGTCATATAATGCACTACATTTCCTCTTAATGTTTTCATATTCAAACACTATGAGTGCTTGGATTTCTTTTATATTGTTGAAAAAGACCTCTTTTATCTCATTCACTCTTTCTAATAAATAGGAGATAACTCAAAAGATTTATTTTTTACTCTCTTTTACTTTCTAAGTGGAAATCTTAATTATTTCATAATTTCCATAATTTTCCAAGATTAAAAAACACAAGAACAAATGTGTGCATTCCTTTATTTAGACATTTGTTCAATACTTATTGACATGAGCCTTGTACAAAGGGTTCATGCATAGTGAAATATCAAAAATAATAGTTTATTTATTTATTGACACTGATATTTGATAACCCCTCCAGTATTCCAGTTTTCACTATCTGAAGTAATTTTAAACTATATTCCTAATTCTATTAACTTTTTGGAATATTTTCTTACATTTTTCACTATATCACTAGATTTTTTTTCTATATCCACAGTATTCTGTTTAATTTCCCATGATGTATATCCCAATTAAACAGGCGCAGAGTCTTTATATTACTATAATTAGATCCAGAATTTTGTAATTTTTTATCATTTCCAATATCACATTCAAAATAATTACCCTCACTTTACAAGTTTTTTGGAATATTTTATTTGTATTTTCACTATATCACTTATAAATTGTTATCCTCACGTAATGATTTTTTAAAGAAATTTTACTTTTATTATTCACTTTATCACTTTATCACTTAAGATTTGACTATATCCACTGTATTCCTATTTTATTTCATTTCCATGATATATATCCCATTTAAACAGGTGAATTATCTTCATATTAGATCCGGATTTTTATAATGATTATTCACAAAATCACATTTAAACATTTAAAGACACAAAAACATGCTGGTTGAACTTACTTCTCCTTCTTGCATTCAAGTTTTGAATTTTTTTAACTTTTAGATTAACTAAATCCCATCTTAGATTATTGGGTCAAAATTAGATTAATCATCAATATTGGGGGCTTAAAACAATGAAAACCAATAATATTTTCTTCCCTATCAATTTTATAATAGAATTACTAGGTGAAGAAAAACTTCAGGAAAAAAGCATGCTGTAAGGTTGGATTAGGTGAATAATAAAATGTTCCGCTGGGCGCAGCTTGATACGACCGCAGAGGTCGAACCCTGAACAGTTGGGGGAAGTATGGACACAACATTCAAGCTTGATACAGCACTGAATTTGGATTGTGATTAAATATTTGACACAGAATGAATGTGGTCTAAGAACTTGAAAAATTTTAATTTACCTATTCAAACCATATCATTATTATTTGCTTTTATATATAAATCAGAAATAACCAATTTAAAATGGAAAATTTTAAAGAAAAAAAATCCCCCCCAAATATTTTGAACCCCCTTATGATTCATCATCCCCAAACTCAATCCCAGCCTTCCCTTTGTGGTATGGTAACTGCAGTACAATTTCAGAGAGATCCATACACTTGAACACAAGTTATTGTCTGGAAACTAGAAAAATGCTTGTTTTTTTACCCCTTTTTGGCCCCAAATTCCTAAACGTTTAGGCAATTACCCCAAACTCAAACCCAGCTTTCCCTTTGTGATATGGAACCTTGTAGTACAATTTCATAAAGATCCATACACTTACACACAAGTTATTGTCCTGAAACTAGAAAAATGCTTGTTTTTGGCCCCTTTTTTGGCCCCTTAATTCCTAAATTTTTGAAGCAATTACCCCCAAAATCAATTCCAGCTTTCCCTTTGTGATATGGAACCTTGTAGTACAATTTCAGAAAGATCCATACACTTACACACAAGTTATTGTCATGAAACTAGAAAAATGCTTGTTTTTTGCCCCTTTTTTGGCCCCTAATTCCTAATACTTTGAGGCAATTACCCCCAAAATCAATCCCAGCATTCCCTGTGTGAAATGGAACCTTGTGGTACAATGTCAGAGAGATCCATACACTAACACACAAGTTATGTTTGGAAGTTACAAAAATGCTTATTTTTGGCCCCTTTTTGGCCCCTAATTCCTTAACTGTTGGTACCATAACCCCTAAAATCAATCCCAACCTTCCTTTTGTGGTATTGAACCTTATGGTAAAATTTCATAGAGATCCATTCACTTAAACTAAAGTTAGAGTGCTAAAACCAATGTGTCGCCGGACGACACCGACGCCAACGTCATACCAATATACGACCACAAAATTTTTTTGCGGTCGTATAAAAATCAGTACAGGTAGCATCAAGGTAGACTCAACTCTAACAATACCAACTGGTCAATTTAAATGTCCCAATTGTATTGTCAAATTTACAATCTGGTTGAACAATAGGTAAAGGTAAACAGCAACACCCATAGTCAAATCACAGTAACAACAAATCTTTTCCTGAAACTTAACCTGACTACTAACGCATGAAAATGAGCCAAGGCTAAATGATATATTTTGGATGAACATATATTGCTCAAAATCTATCCATGCACCAAATATTTTGCCCTATTGTTTTTAGTTACAAAGGAAAACACCAACCTCAAACCTGAACTTAACCAATGCAATTAAAAATGGAGACAATTGTTTTAACAAGGACTGACTGACGGAAGCATTGTAATTAAGCTGCATACAAGTATCTAATAATCTAGGTAAAAGTGGGGACAAGTAAGGATAATTGCAAATTCTTCATGCTTTCCTTGTTGGAGCTAAAGAAAAAGTTATCCCTCAGATTTGTTTCCTACAACTGCTGTTGTATGTGTGATAAAAATGACATATGTGAAGGCTGGACACACAAAATTTAAACAAGAGTGCACACGCTGAAATGTCTCGCCTTCTTTACTAATCATTTATATTATGTTGATAGTCCTAAATATAAAGCTTTATTACAACTGTCACATAAACTTAACATTAACCAAGTAAACTAAACATTGACCAATGAACCATGAAAATGAGGTCAAGGTCAGATGAACCATGCTAGGCAGGCATGTACAGCTAACAATTCTTCCATACAACAAATATAGTTGACCTATTGTTTATAGTTTAAGAAAAACAGACCAAAACACAAAATCTTAACACTGAGCAATGAACCTTGAAAATGAGGTCAAGGTCAAATAAAACCTGCCTGACTGACATATAGATCATAAAATATTTCCATACACCAAATATAGTTGAACTATTGCAAATAGTATTAGAAAAGACCAAAACTCAAAAACTTAACTTTGACCACTGATCCATGAAAATGAGGTCAAGGTTAGATGACACCTGCCAGCTAGACATGTACACCTTACAATCATTCCATACACCAAATATAGTAGACCTATTGCATACAGTATAAGAAAAACAGATCAAAACACAAAAACTTAACACTGAGCAATGAACCTTGAAAATGAGGTCAAGGTCAAATAAAACCTGCGTGACTGACATATAGATCATAAAATATTTCCATACACCAAATATAGTTGAACTATTACATATAGTATTAGAAAAAAAGACCAAAACTCAAAAACTTAACTTTGACTACTGAACCATGAAAATGAGGTCAAGGTCAGATGACACCTGCCAGCTAGACATGTACACCTTACAATCATTCCATACACCATTTATAGTTGACCTATTGCATACAGTAATAGAAAAAAAGACCAAAACTCAAAAACTTAACTTTGACCACTGAACCATGAAAATGAGGTCAAGGTCAGATGACACCTACCAGTTGGACATGTACACCTTACAATCATTCCATATACCAAATATAGTAGACCTACTGCTTATAGTATCTGATATATGGACTTGACCACGAAAACTTAACCTGGTTCACTGATCCATGAAATGAGGTCGAGGTCAAATGAAAATTGTCTGACGGGCATGAGGACCTTGCAAGGTACGCACATACTAAATATAGTTATCCTATTACTCATAATAAGAAAGAAATTAACATTACAAAAAATGTTGACTTTTTTTTCAAGTAGTCACTGAACCATGAAAATGAGGTCAAGGACATTGGACATATGACAGACGGAAACTTCGTAACATAAGGCATCTATATACAAAGTATGAAGCATCCAGGTCTTCTAGCTTCTAAAATATAAAGCTTTTAAGAAGTTAGCTAACGCCGCAGCCGCCGTAGCCGCCGCCGGATCACTATCCCTATGTCGAGCTTTCTGCGACAAAAGTCGCAGGCTCGACAAAAAAACAGGTAGGCTTTTAAAATAAAATGTTCTTGAATGGGTTTTTCTGAAATCTTTAATGTAGTGAATTGATTATTGCACATCAATGTCTTGTAACATGGATCGATTTTCATTATCAATATTTCCCTTCTAAAAATATTCTCAAATGTCCAAATACAAGCTTAAGATATTTTTCTGCTGCCATCATATCCATTATTACTGTAGAATTCCATAACGAAGTCTGCAGAAGTTTATCTTCTATTTCACTCATCCTCTGTTTCAGCTAAAAATTTCCTTTTCTTGGCTGTATTCATGTATGGTCTGTACACCCATTCTACATCAGCAGAATCTTTAGTATCTATCGTACCTAATATAATCTGGTATACTGTAAAACAAAAATGTCATCTTTATGTTATAATTTGACATAATAAAAAGTAAAATAAAATGCTTCGCTGGGGCGCAGCTTGATACGACCGCAGAGGTCGAACCCTGAACAGTTGGGGCAAGTATGGACACAACATTCAAGCTTGATACAGCTCTGAATTTGGATTGTTATTAAATATTTGACACAGCATAGGTTTCTGACACAGAAAGAATGTGGTCTAAGAACTTGAATTTTTTTAATTTACCTATTATGGTCCAATGTCCAAAATCAAAATACATGGTTAGATTCAGCATATCAAAGAACCCCATATATTCAATTTTTGTTAAAATCAAACAAAGTTTAATTTTGGACCCCAACTTGGACAAACTTGAAAACTTGGCCCATAATCAAAAATCTAAACACATGTTTAGATTCAGCATATCAAAGAACCCCAAGAATTCATTTTTTGCTAAAATCAAACTATGTTTAATTTTGGACCCTTTGGACCTTAATGTAGACCAATTTAAAAAACGGGACTTAAAATTAAAAATCTAAATACACGGTTAGATTTGGAATATCAAAGAACCCCAATAATTCAATTTTTGATGAAATCAAACAAAGTTTAATTTTGGACCCTTTTGACCTCAATATGAACCAATTTGATAGCGGGGCCCACAAATAAAAAATCTAAATTCATGGTTAGATTCAGCATATCAAAGAACCCCATATATTCAATTTTTGTTGAAATCAAAAAAAGTTTAATTTTGGACCCCAACTTGGACCAACTTGAAAACTGGGCCCATAATCAAAAATCTAAACACATGTTTAGATTCAGCATATCAAAGAACCCCAAGAATTCAATTTTTGTTAAAATCAAACAAAGTTTAATTTTGGACCCTTTGGACCTCAATGAAGACCAATTTAAAAAAAACAGGACCCAAATTAAAAATCTAAAAACACGGTTAGATTTGGCATATCAAAGAACCCCAATAATTCAATTTTTGATGAAATCAAACAAAGTTTAATTTTGGACCCCAATTTGGACCAACTTGAAAACTGGGCCCATAATCAAAAATCTAATTACATGTTTAGATTCAGCATATCAAAGAACCCCATATATTCAATTTTTGTTGAAATCAAACAAAGTTTAAATACTGGACCCTATCTTGGACCAACTTGAAAACTGGGCCCATAATCAAAAATCTAAACACATGTTTAGATTCAGCATATCAAAGAACCCCAAGAATTCAATTTTTGTTAAAATCAAACTATGTTTAATTTTGGACCCTTTGGACCTTAATGTAGACCAATTTAAAAAACAGGACCCAAAATTAAAAATCTAAATACACGGTTAGATTTGGAATATCAAAGAACCCTAATAATTCAATTTTAGATGAAATCAAACAAAGTTTAATTTTGGACCCTTTTGACCTCAATATGAACCAATTTGATAACGGGGTCCACAAATAAAAAATCTAAATACATGGTTAGATTCAGCATATCAAAGAACCCCATATATTCAATTTTTGTTGAAATCAAACAAAGTTTAATTTTGGACCCCAATTTGGACCAACTTGAAAACTGGGCCAAAAATCAAAAATCTAAATACATGTTTAGATTCAGCATATCAAAGAACCTCATATATTCAATTTTTGGTAAAATCAAACAAAGTTTAATTTTGGACCCTTTGGACCTTAATGTAGACCAATTTGAAAACTGGACCCAAAATTTAAAATCTAAATACACTGTTAGATTCGGCATAACAAATAAATAAATGTGATCAAAGATTTTACAAATCTAATGCGCCATACTGTGCAATTAAAGATTACTTCTTGAAATTTTTCAATATTTGAAATTTGAAAAAAAAATAATATTTGAAGAATAATTCTTTTTAATTTCTGAAATCTGAAATGAGAAAAAATTGACCCCCCACAATTTCTTTTTATCCCCCCCCCCTTTTTTCCCCCAAAAAATTCTTTCCCTCAAGATATGGTCAAAATCTCAATTAAAATTTCCAATGGAGTTGGCAACCATAATTACCCATTTAAATTTACCATAGTGCTAACTTAATCTATTATATAATAGAATTAAAAATATAGTGTCAAATCTTTCATATGGATTTTTTTGTAAAAAAAAAGATGCAACATTTGCAGATATTTTTACTGGTCTTCCTTTATAAATATGCATTTCTTTAAACATAATTTAAAAGCAGTGTAAGGGAAGTAACCAAAACGTTGTATTTGGATTACCTCCCTTACACTGTTTTAAATTATCTTTATTGTTCATTAACCATTACTTTATACATAATTTAAAAGCAGTGTAAGGGAGATAATTTCAATGATGTATTTGATTTATCTCCCTTACACTGCTTTAAATTATGTTTTGTACTAAAGTATTTGTCCATTAACCAGGACAACCTTGTTTTTCCCCCTTTTTTGCCCCTAATTCCTAAACGGTTTGAGCCATAACCCCCCCAAAGCAAATCCTAACCATCCCTTGTGGTATGGAAACTTGTAGTATAATTTCAGAGAGATCCATACACCGTTCCACAGTTATTGTCTGGAAACTAGAAAATGCTTATTTTTGGCCCCTTTTTGGCCCCTAATTCCTTAACTGTTGGTACCATAACCCCCAAAATCAATCCCAACCTTCCTTTTGTGGTATTTAACCTTATGGTAAAATTTCAAAAAGATCCATTCACTTAAACTAAAGTTAGAGTGCGAAAACCAATGTGTATTCGGACGACAACGCCGGACGACGACGACGACGACGCCAACGTCATACCAATATACGACCACAAAATTTTTTTGCGGTCGTATAAAAACTAGTCTCTATATAACTATAGTTAAAAAACAACATATTATTTTATGCTAAAGTAGAGTATCCAGCTGGAGGGGGCAAGGAAAAAGGTAAAACCAAAATTCTTTTGGTTCATTGCATTCATAAACCAAAAATTTTAATACTCAGATGTTAGATATCATTATTTTTTATTTGTATATTACTGATCAGTGTTATGGCTTCAAACTTCCTCCATTTAAAGCAAGCACAGCTAAAAATAAATCATTTTGAGTTTTAGATTTGAGAAAAGACCTTACAAATATAATTTAAAACAAGATGCCTTACTCAAGATGTTAATTGGGGTAAAAACCTTTTTTTTTCAGTAAGGTCTTGGCTCATAAAATATTTTGCCAAAAAATCAAAAGTCGCTTCCTTTCAACTTTGATGGGTGATGAACAATTGTAGAAAGTAATCGATTAAAATTCTATTCATGAATGAGTAAAATAAATAGTGCCTTTTGACCCAACCCATACATGTATTACTGTAACTGCTCTGTCAATAATATGTAAACTCATGATGGAAAAAGAATGAAAATTGGTGAGTTTAAAATAGTGAAAAAAGCCTAACGTATATTTGCATAATTGAGGGTATCCAGCAATTTTCTTAAATATTGACAGTGATTATGAAACGCATGGAATTGCTTTGCTTGCAAAGTGTTTATCTAGAGTTGAAACAATATATATGTTTTGATTGACATAATTTGAGCAAGAGTTACTTCCCTTTGGTAACCATGTTGGAGGTCTATGTGCACAAATTCCTTAATAAATCAGCCAAATTCAAGTTGATATACTGACCACTAGACTTTACTGTAGATCTAGTTGTTTTCTGAACAATTGCAATTTTGTTTAGCCTTGCTCGATTCTACACTACCATCTATGTTTCAATTTGGTTAGTCAAATAAGAAAATCAACCATTTATCCCCCAAAATGGCACCATATGAAATAACTGAAACTCAAATTACATCATGTCAAAACCTATCTTTAGTATAAAGCTGTTTTGGGTGACTTTTAAAAAAATATTTCCTACAGCTTATTCTTTACTTACACTGCATTTCAAATCTTGGACCAACTTCACTTAATTCAATGTCTTTACCTTCTTCACTTTTCTTGTAAACATGATGCCTAAAAACATAACAGGTATCAAATTTAAATAAAGATAAATGTTCTAGTTCATTGATCAAGAGCTTATATCTACACAAGAGTTTCAGCAAAAGAATTTTCTTTTAGTACATTTCAAAGGCATTATGTTGTTGTTATTTGTATTGTTGGGTTGTCCCATTGATGTATAAACCCACTTCAACTTTTGTTAATAAGTTTTTCAGAAAACTACTAAATCACAACATTGTAACTTATAAATGACAAACATCTATTTCAGTTTATATATTTACCTATATGATATAAAGTCATCTTCATTAGCAAATGTCATTACTCTTTTGCTCTCTTCTTTTGGTACTGGGAATAAATACTTTAAAATGTTCATCACCTAAAATATTTATTAACAATGCATAAATTCAAGAAATTTATGGTCTAATAGGATAGTGTAAATGCTTGTCACTCTTGAATTGTAATTTTATCAGCAATTCATAAAAGACATCTTATTGTTTTAAAAATGTACAAGCATTTACATAACTCCTACAGTTTCAGAAAATAAAAAAATCTTACAAAGCATGAAACTTTCATTGAATTCTTTATTTTCTTCTCTACTGTCTATAGCTATCTATTATAGTTCATTTCTGCAAGAGAGATAACCTCATTAATTTCGATATTTCAAACCTTTACCTTTTTCAATATATAGACACAGTACATAATTATCCCTGTACGGAACATATTAGGAATATAAGTGTTAATCACTGTTTGTCTTTCAATTCATTGTGTCATCACTAGTCATCTAATGACCATGTGTTTAAGTTATACAATGGATCAAAACATTCTCGGTGTTTATAGGTAAAAAATAGCGAGCTTTAAATGTGATTTTTTTATTTATAACTCTTACATTTTTCATCAATATCAAATTAAAAAAAAAACATTCTTACCCTTCTACCAAGTCTTGTGGTAAATTTATTAAATATAAGGTGTGGATAAGCCTCTGACATAGTCCCTACGTCAGGAATGTCATGTCTCATAATAACATTGGATAATGTAAAATATGCTGTGGGTCCATATGGCAAATGACACACTACTAAACCATCTAAAATTGAAAAAAAAAACATAAAATGATTGATTGTTGTTTGTAATGTCCATCTACAAGTTTTTATTGCATATTTTGTGGGCGAAAAAGGTTTAGATTGTAGTGAATATAGTTCATAACAACATGTGATTGGTATTTATAAGTTTGACTAGTCATACCAATATGAAAATAATAACATTACAAATTTCAGCAAGTCCCAGACGAAAGTGATGAACCAAAACCTCCTCTGAGAAAATAACAAAGGTCCCTGTCAATTACATTTCAAATTTACATTGCAAAACAACTGTCACCATGCATTATTACATTCTTAATCAAAAACTGTATACAAAATTCCACAATTACTACAGACTATCAGAAATATGGAACATCAGTTACAAGACATGGCATGGATTTTCTACAGGGAACTACTAGTACACAAACCTGACAAGGCAATTCTTTTAAAAATCAATTTAAGTTAAATTTTCACACTAAATGTTGGTTGATTTTGGAGATTCTGTCTGACATCTATCTCTTAATATTCCAATAGTGTGTAATAGGGTCTTCAATCAGAGTGTTTTACATGCAATCACTCAAAAACAGCAAGTGATTTTTAACTGAAGCACCACACATGTTTACTGTACCACTGCATTACATTAAAAAGATACGGCATTTCTCCAATCTATCAATCTGGAAGAATTTTACACCCTGAACAGTCCTTGAATTGAAAATTATACTATTTTTGAACGTAAGAATATTATTTCCCAAACTGGAAAACCAATTCTAAAACTATAGATTATCATATTCATTTAGTCTGTGTGTATTTAAAAAACTGAAAGGATTTCATCAATATATCTCATCTATTCCACTATGGATTACTGTAATACATCACTCGTTTATTTTTCAAGTGATACATGTAGCTACTTTTATTACATCAAAAATATATATTACTCATGATCTTTCACTATTATGATCATATTAATCATATATGAATTATGAAAACCCCTTCTTTGAATTACCTGGTACCCCTCTATGTTCATGTAATATTACAAGATCTGTGACATCATTGGCTCGACAAGCTTCTATAATCTGTTTTATTTCATAGTTTCCTCTGTTTATTCTTTGACTGTTAGGGAAGATCAACTTCATCTCCTGTCATAAAAAAAAAAAAAGGGTACAAAAATGTAATAAAACTAATACAAACAAAAACAGGCCATTTGAATTAAATATAATATGGAATTTTCCAAGACTGTCGCTTTTCCTTGCTCCAGAAGACTTACCAGTGTAATAAAAATCATTTTTGACAATGTTCCTATGTGGATGAGCTTTTCCCCATTAAATAAAATTTAACAGTTGATTACTTTGGTTTTTAGCTGATGCTGGACAGTGGCAGATCCAGGGGGGTTCCGGGGGTTGGAACCCGCCCTTTTTTTTGACGATCAATGCATTTGAATGGGGACATATAGTTGGAACCCCCCCCCCCCCCCCCCCCCCCTTTTATCTTGGGTTAGGAACCCCCCTTTTATAAATGGCTGGATCCACCCCTGCTGGATATAATCTAAAGCCAAAATGCAAGAAAATATAGAACTTCAAATGGAATCTAAGATGAAATCAAATTTTATTGAAAAACATGCAATTTTAATATCAATCATTTTTTATTAACTTTTCAAACAATAAAACATAAAATCAGGGTAAAAATGTAACTTTCATATAAGATTCTGCTATTATAATTTAGCACAAGCATAAATTTACTATAATTTCATGTATTAACATTGTATAAATTAATCTCATTTTTCTAATGTTTTCTGTCATAAATACATTGGTTATCGGTAAAAAAAAATCTCTCTTTAAACTATGCATATATTGTACATCCTTTCCATATTCATAATCAAAATGGAAGGGTGCGATAAAATAGCAAACCTTTGCAAACTGTTTTAGTTTAGAACTTGGATCTCTGGATGTTGTGACCATGATTTTAGGATCTTCTACTCCAGCCCATTTATATTCATCATCAATGTGAGTGGTCAGACCTTATAACATTAAAATATAAATGTGAGTGGTCATACTTTGTAACATTAATAATATAAGTCAATTCTTTAACAAACCCATACAAGTGTTTTCCTAATTTCTAATATTAATGTAGATATTTTAAATTTGGTAAATGAGTCATCCATTAGAAGTCTTTTGTTTATATATAAATATATACATTCATTCTTTTTTTACTTTAATTTTTGTTGTTGATAAATGACCTATAAGACAGACATTACTAAAGGAAAACGAAATGGGGTTTACCATTTAGTAGTAAAGTATGCATTCTAGCATGTTCTAATAGCAACATATTCAAAGCAAGAACTTTTTTCTTTCACTTTATTATAAAAATTGGTCCAGAAAATAACTTTTCTTTAAATTGTAAATATAAAGTGACAATACCATCAGCCCCTTTATCATCCCAATCCAAGGTCTTCTGAAGGTCAACAGCATCATTTTGCAGATCAGTTGGTATCTGTTTGTTGTCTGCAATAAAAGTGTCAAATCTCTGTAATATGTATGATAATGATAGATTATAATCAAGAAAGCTCTAAGCAGAAATTTTAATATATGGAGACAATTTATATTCCAGAAAACAATCACTGTGTAAAGTTTTAAAAATTACCATAAATTGCTTTTAAGATTGTGTTAATTAATATTTCATTTGAACTTAAAAATCTAAGGATAACAGAATAATCCCAGTGATTATAATGATTTAATTGTTTTAAACACAATCATCAATATATTTAGTACTAAATAGATTTTTTTTATTCTTACCATCTAAAGCATTCTTTAATTTTTGTTTTTTCTCTAGAATGGTTCTCTCTCTATCTTCGATAGATTTTCTGTATATATACTCTCTTCTAAGTCTAGCTTGTCTTCTTAACTAAAATAAACATATATAAAATACACGATGGAATTAAATTCCGCAGTTATATGATATAATTGATGAGTGATGAAAATTCTTTTCACCTTTTTCATGAGAACAAATTTTTTAAATATTTAGCTTTTCATGTGCAATGTCATTAAATTCTTTTTCTTCAGTGCCTGGATCAGATCATTTATTTAGACTAAAATCAAATCAAATCATTTATTCTAAAAATCTATTAAGCCCAGTACCCTCCCAAAAACTATGTTGATCATGTTGACTTATTTGTAAAATTTGGTTTGCTGATAATTTTTTATGGCACTGTTTACCATCTATTTATTTTTTGGTACAGTTTCTCTCTTTCTACAATGTTCTCTTATTGTTATCAAGATATTTGCCAACCGAAAAGTAGAGGCTCTGAAGAGCCTGTGTCGCTCACCTTGGTCTATGTGCATATTCAACAAAGGACACTCTCCAACATTGTAGACGAGAATAGAATTCATTCCAAAAATCTCGTTTGTTGATCTTGTTTTGCTGATCATTTAGTCTGTTAAGTTTCTCTCTATTTTCTTTAGAGTTTGCTCAAAACACAAAAGAGGGTAAAAAAATTCTCATTTAAGGGCAATCACTCCTATAAAGAGTGACAGTCTACTAACTATATTGGCAAAATTTGACTTGTTAATAAATCTTGCCTTGGTGATCATTTTTGTGATTTAAAGCTAAGTGCCTATTTATCTATTATAATTTTATCATATAAGGCAAAACGCATAAGAAAATCATCATTAAAGGGCAATAACTCCAATCAGGAATATTTTTACAGAATATGAATTGTCAAATAATTTCCTCCTTATGTCTTAATTGTAGATCTTGTCTTGTTGATCATTTTTGCTCATTTAAGTTTCTATCTATGTATTATAATTTTTAAGATATAAGACAAAAACGCAAAAAATTGGTAAAAAATCGTCATTAAATGGAAGTAATTCTTATAAGGAGTCCACTGACGATTTCATCCATAATACTTATTTGTAGAACTTGTCTTGCCGATCATTTTTGCAATTTAAAGTTTCCCTCTATCCATTATAGTTTTCAAGATAATAGGCAAAAATGAAAAAAGCGGTAAAATTTGTCATTTAAGGGCAACAACTCCTGTAAGAAGTCGTCTGACAGTTTTGACTAACTAAACAATTGGTAGATCTCAACATTCTGAACATTTCTGCTCTGTCAGATTTTCTTTATTTATAACGGTTTCCAAAATAATAGACAAAACTTGCATTTTACCCCTATGTTCTTTTTTTAGCCATGACGGGCATTTTTTGGTTGGCAGGCGGGGTCATCTGACACATTTTTTAAACTAGATACCCCAATTATGATTGTGGCCAAGTTTGGTTAAATTTTACCCAGTAGTTTCAGAGGAGAAGATTTTTATAAAAGTTAACAGACGACGACAACGAACAACGAAGGACGCCAAGTTATAAGAAAAGCTCACTTGGCTCTTTGGGCCAGGTAAGCTAAAAATGGGTTAAAGTTGTCACTTAAGGGCAATAACTCCGTAAAGTAGTAATAGTTTTTACAGAATACGAAAGTATAAACAAGCCCTTTTTGTGACTTAAAGAAGTCAAATTATGTATCATTATAAGATGTATTTACAATTACATCATATATGACAATTAAAACTTTTCTGAGAACTATCAAGTACCTGAGCCTATCTATAAGTAATGATCTGAATTAACTTTTTTTCCCTCACATCTCTAAGTTTTGTTTTCCTTTTCAGTGGTTATAAATACATGAAATACTGGCACTAGAAAGTTAATAAATATTGTTTTTGCTTTTTAGACTTGATCATATTTTTTCAAGAAAAAAAAAATTGGTCATCAATGTTGTCACAATTTCATGTTGATGTTTGACCTTTTTATATTTGAACACTGGTCTAGAAGATTATCAATTTGTGTAACTTAATAACTTGAAGAAGTCAATATTTGTTAAAACATAAAGGGAGACAACCAATGAAACATAAAAACTTAGACTTCTACAAGTCTAAAGCAAAATTAGACTTATACACATGATTCAAGAAACAACAATCGATGTACATGTACATGAAGTATAAATCTCCAAGTTATAGTCTTTATTATCAATTTCGCCTGTTTTCAACAATATACATTGATTATTTTAGAAAAATATAACTATTTCAAAGGTTGTGACTATATTTTGTGGTTATTTGGGCCATTTGAGACATCAAGTGGAATCCGAAGAGAAAATTATTTAAAACTGTAAAAACATTAATTTTTGTAGGGTTACAATTTTGTGGTTATTTCTTTATTTGATCTCATAGAGATTCAGTTTCTTGGTTTTCAGTGTGAATGTACTTTGTAGGTTGTTGGGGTTTTAAAATCAACCCAAATTAAAGCCCCAACGAAAATTTTTACAGTACACTGCTGTTTAGTACAACTGACCATGAAGATGGAAAAGTACTAGAGAGGACACAAAGTGAAGGCAATAGCTCACCTGTTCAATAGAGCCAGGAAGGTAAAATAGAGTATGGTATATCATTACTATATAATATTATTCATCTAAAATAGGGTATGTGATTTGTGTTGCAATAAATGGAAGTAATTTTGAATTTATATTATAAAATAAATCTTTTTTTCTTTTCTTTCATATCACAGTTTAAATATAAACCTGCAAATTTTTGTTTCTAAGATATCTTTGTGGTAAGACTGGTACTGATTCAGGTTGGGCGCACCCAGAGTGCACCCCTCCCCCTAAAAAAATAAATAAAGGTAAAACAACAGTCAATTTTTAGTCAAAATAAGGTCCTCATCCCCCCCTTTTCCACCACCACCATCGAATCCTGGAACTGTGTCTGCAAGGTAAATTATGTCTGTATGGGTGGTCCATTATTATATCTTCATTAAAATACACTTTATATTTGTAACATAAAATTTTTATGATTCGTAACAAATAAAGTAAAATCATAGCTTTTAAAACATGTATAATAATATATATATATAGAATTTTGTGTCCTTTACTGGCTTTAGTTCTCTAATAAAAAAGAAAGGATATGGGTTATACATCGACAGGCATTTTTATGTCTGGAATAATTCCTTACCATTTTGACTTTCTTATTTTTCTACATTTCTTTCTTCTTAGTACGATATATACGAATATGTCAATACAAAAACACACGTGTTGACCAAACGGAAGTAAACAGACTAATGGTCATAACAAATTATGCTATAATGATTCCAGCCATTTAAGTATTTAATTTTCAAAACATTTACAAATTTTACATTTCTGTAAAGTGAGAATATATTCAAATCCTTTTCTTCATATTTATTTTTTTATTTTTTATAGTAAAGGGGAAAAAAATTTGTGTTCGATATCAATGTTTTAGCAAAACCACCATCTTTTAGGTCCACCAAACTAATCAAGGCACTTCCGGAATATTTTTTCTGAACGTTTGAAATGTGAAACACTGAAAAATGGTAATTTTATCTATTGATATGTACTTCAACTTTTTCTCAGCATAACTACAATATGGTTGTTTTCGTGTTTTTAGTCTAACTAGTGCGTCATTTACATAATGAAAGTGCTTTGTCTTGAAACTAGTCCCCCTTTTTTTAAATTTCTATTTTCTTGTAGTATTTTTACATTTTCTTTTCTGTATCTCAAATGAATATCTTAATTTATTTAATGTGTTCTTACTCATTATTGATCGATGTTATGAATACAACAAGGAGTATGTAATGAAGCAGTGACTTACATTCTGAATAATTCACTGATTGCCCAGAACTTTATCTGTTTATTTATGAATAAAAGACTATCAATGACTATAAGTACTGTTACAGTGCTCCAGCTAGAAATTGAAAGGGGCAGGGTGCCAGTGGAGGGCAGGGTGCCAGTGGAGGGCAGGGCACTTTTTTATGATAGGAAAAGGCACTGCTAATTTATTTTGTCTACGTTTCTGTGTGTATCACGAGTTCACATTTTTTTTTTACTGTATATGTTGACAATAAGGATAAGTTGTTGTTTTGATTATTTATTCTATAAAATTTGCATTCATAGAATCATACTACATGTTCATAATACATGGCAATACACGTTCATACATCACATCACTATTAACCAAAAGAGTCAAAATAACTATAATTATAACCCCCCCTCCGAAGAATATTTCTTAGTATAACTACAATATGGTTGTTTTCGTGTTTTTAGTCTAACTAGTGCGTCATTTACATAATGAAAGTGCTTTGTCTTGAAACTAGTCCCCCTTTTTTTAAATTTCTATTTTCTTGTAGTATTTTTACATTTTCTTTTCTGTATCTGATCAAATGCCTATCTTAATTTATTTAATGTGTTCTTACTCATTATTGATCGATGTTATGAATACAACAAGGAGTATGTAATGAAGCAGTGACTTACATTCTGAATAATTCACTTTGTGATTAGAAATCGATGAGACAAAAAGCAATTTTACCTGTACATTGCCAAAACGGCACAAGGGTTTTTTGGGAAAAGGTGTCAGGGCAGAAGGGCGCGGATGAGGGCACACAGGGCGCGGTGCCCTTCTATTTTGGGCTAACGACACCACTGAGTACATGTAGATGTGAGGTTAAAAGTGTACAGCAAGCTAAATACTTCCTACTAGTTTATTACCATTTGTAATGTAAAATGATAACTGCTATATCATAGATATAGGAAGATGTGGTATGAGTGCCAATGAGACAACTCTCCATCCAAGTAACAATTTATAAAAGTAAACCATTATAGGTCAAGGTATGGCCTTCAACACGGACCATTGGCTCACACCGAACAGCAAGGTATAAAGGGCCCCAAAAATTACTAGTGTAAAACCATTCAAACGGGAAAACCAACAGTCTAATCTATATAAAAACGAGAAACACGTATGAACTACATAAACAGACGACAACTACTGTACATCAGATTCCTGACTGTATAGATCAAATCAATTTAACCCATACAATAAATCAGGGATCTCCATGGATGAAAATTTAGCAATGGAGGAACTTTCACCATGGCAAAACCCCACGTCTACGTTTGGCCTCATCGAAAGTATTTTATTCCTTCATTTTCATGTAAGGAATGGTGAACAGGCTAATATATTGCTTATTATGCTTATTTCCTTATAAAATAACCAATATTTTCATTAATTGTCATTTGTAACAATACTAATGCCAAGCCTGCATGGCTCCGCCTTAGTCAAGAATGACTACAAGCTATCCTTATGGTTCCCACGTCGTTTTCTTGCTATTTTGGTAATGAATAGGGCTTAAAAATCAGGGGACCTTTTTTTCATTGTCAAATTCAGAAGTTATGAACGGGTATGGACGATTTGCAGCATCAACAACAAGAAGAAGTTTTGTACCCATTTTGTAAAACGCTGAAGAAAGATTTGGATGGCAAACGTTTACAACTAAAAAGGTTTTACTATGCAACATGCATCTTTCGATTCTGAATGTAAACCGGAAAAGCAGATGTATCAATTTGATTGTAAACTACGAAATGAATTCGAAATTACGATACGAAATTTCTTTTAAACGTGTAAAGTGATTCAACATTATCGATAATTGCTGTACTCGTTTTATTTGGCATGAAATTATTTTCTGTTTTACGTCTTATTTTGTACTCGTTTAAAAAGGGGGATGCTGATTGCGTAAGTCAATATAAAGCACAACTTGTTAAACTTTTTTTGTAACTGGATTTAAAATTTATTTTTTTTAATCTAAATTTTCATAAGCATTTGCTGAAACGTAATTAAATAATGTAATCAATCATCTGTCTTGATCAAGTGTTCTCCTGTCAGGTGTGTCGATCTACCTGTACAAGTGATTAGCGATCTTTAGCCGGATATCCCTCGGGTCTTTAAAACTGTAATCAGGGAACCCTTTGGATTATAATACAAAAGGCCTAAGGGTTATGCAATTACATGCAAGTTATTATAATTGCTAACTAAAGAAACAAAAACAAATTTTGACAATGGCGAGGATCATTTGACGATGGTGGAATATAATTTAACAATGGCTGGGATCATTTGACGGTGGCGGAAGATATTTTAACGATGGCAGTGCACCATCATAAAACAGGTCATGGAGATCCCTGCAATAAATTACTTTATTAAAGATTAACCCATCTACAGCTGAGGGTGTAATTGAAGGTTGGATGAAAACCTATTTAAATGGGTTGAATTATTGACTTGCAAGCAAATGATACAATATCTATATTTTTTAGTTTATTTTGACGAAATTTAATTAAGACACTTTATTTCACATTTCCACTTTTATAAATGTTAGAAACAGAGAAAATCGTGGCTAAGGCCCCATTAATACCATCAAGAAATGCATTTAATATGCTAAATCTTCCATTCTAAAATGCATATATATGATATACTTAACAAAATATATGAATATGAGGCTTTTCAAATGTCAGCATTTCAGAAGCATACATGTATTTATTTCTATTTCAAAGGGAGATGATCTTATTCCTGCTTAACATCAGGATTTGGTATCCTTGCTGTAACATTATTTAGAAAAAACTATTTGCACTTTTAAAAATCATGAATTGTAGCTTAATTTATTAATACTCTCTCAATCTTTTTCTTATATTTTATTATGTAGGCAAGAAACAGTGAGAAGGCCATGTGAGTATCTGAAATTTTATTATGTCTCCAAGAGTCCAATATTATTTGTTAGGAGACGATTCAGACAAGTATTGTTTTATCCTGTCTGTCCCAAAAACTTGTCTTTGCAAAATCTCCTCTTTTTTGTCGAGCCTTCGACTTTAGTTGAAAAAAACGAGACATAGCGATCCTACATTCCGGTGTCCGCAGCGTCCACAAATATTCACTCTGTGCTTAAAGTTTTTGAAATTTTAATAACTTTCTTAAAGTATCCTGGATTTCTACCAAACTTGGACAGAAGCTTGTTTATAATCATAAGATAGTATCCAGAAGTAAATTTTGTAAATATAAAATTCCTGTTTTTCGTATTTTACTTGTAAATGGACTTAGTTTTTCTGCCGGGAAACATTACATTCACTCTGTTGTTAAAGTTTTTTAAATTTTAATAACTTTCTTAAACTGTCCTGGATTTGTACCAAACTTTGACAGAAGCTTGTTTAGGATCAAAAGCTAGTATCTAGAAGGAAATTTTGTTAAAATTTTGTACCTGTTTATCCGTATTTTACTTATAAATGGACTTAGTTCTTCCTCCAGTTAACATCAAATACAGTCTGCAGTTAAAGTTTTTAAAACATTTATTAGATTCATAAACTATCCTGGATTTATACCAAACTTTGACAGAAGCTTCTTAAAATCAAAAGATAGTATCTAAAGGAATATTTTAATTTTTTTTTTTCCTCATTTTTGTTGAGCCTGCGATTAACAGCAAAAGTAGGGGAGACAATGGGTTCCGCGGAACCCTTGCGAATTTTTTCTTAAATCTACCAAAAATTACATATTAATTTAAGAAATATATACATTGTAGTAAGTGGGAATTAACATGAGAAATCAAAATAATTTAGCTGGCATTAGTAACAATTAGTTGCATTATGAGCTGAAAAAAATACATACAAATATTTCTATTTTTTTAAACATGTTATACAGGATGTTCAGCTACATGTACATGTATGCCCAAATTTAAATGTTATATTATTTTGGAAAAAAAAACATTTGTACCACCTACCCCCTTTGAAGAAGTAATTTTAATAAGCAAGAACTATTTCATGTTATTTTAAATTTGACTTTCTATTATTTTTGTGAATTTTTCATCGCAATTTGCATGATAGATAGTTGATACTGATTTAAACCAAGTTTTTTTAATTATTTTTTTTTTTCATTGTTTCAGGACCACCTTGGCCAGGTGGCGGGCTGCTCATTTGGAAGGAGGCCTGAAAGATCAGGTATGATAAGACTGTTTATACTGGTTTTTTTTTAATAACATAACGGTTTTTTAAAGCCAAAATAAAATAATATTGCCTACCACTTTACTTACATATAGACTTAGAAAATTCGGGAAAACTATCCAATTTACTGAGAACAAAATGTACATTGTAGTTCATAAAACAGTTAGACATTTTGACTAGTCACCATATGTGCTTTAACAATGAGCAAAACTCATACTGCATAGTCAGCTATAAAAGGCCCGAAATGACAAATGTAAAACAATTCAAAAGGGAAAACTAACGGCCTGATTTA